AAATTATATAATAGTGATATATTGTATAATGATATTTTTTTATTTGTATTTTATTGTTGTTCGTTTGGGCAACAATTTTTATGAAATAAAGAAAGGGGGTCCGGTGACCTCACCATTTTTTTTAACTGATCATGCAAATGGGCTCTACTATTAAACTATGCTTTTACTGTTACTATTGGGGTTGAATTCTGATAATTCCCCCAACATTTGAGACGATAAGTTTTTGTATTGACATAATCACCACTGCCCCATTCACCCTCTATATTATTTCTTATATTTTCTTTTTTATGGTCTTTATTACATATGGGGCATATCTTTGAACAAGTAAAGTAATCACCATATTTATTACTGTATTTCAATGATAAACGTGAAAAGCGATCTAATACCATTTTGATAATGTGTGCTTGCTTCTCTTTAGGATCATCAGGCAAGGTAAAAATTGGAGGTTGAGACTTATTAGATGTATTTACATGTGATATACTTACTTCGGTATCTGGTAATTTTTCTGAATCAATAGAAATAGATTTGGTAGATATATTTACTTCAGCTTCTGGTGATTTCAAGGAAGCAGAGTTTTGAGTCTTTAACCCATTTTCTTGGGATGAATCTAAAGGAATCGATTCGGTAGGTATACTTACCTCAGACACAAAGTGTCCTGCTTCGCAGACTTTTAAATCAGAGAAATTTTCATTATCACTTCGTGAACTCGGTTCACAAAGTTGGGTCATATGCTCAGGATTTTTCTCATCACTATGTAACTCAATTTGAATGCTATAATCAAAGGATACATTGTCTATAATATACTGAATTTCCTTCTTTGTTAATTTAGATATACTGTCAGCAGAAAAGGAATGAATGCGATAAATTTTATCCATTCCTATTGCATCAAAAAGTCTATAAAGCTTCTTTGCTTTTTCGATTCTCTTACGTAAAAGGCTATCAGAAGTGTCTGCAGGTAGCTGTGCTTTTACTTCTTTATTTAAAATTCTACTAACAATATTAGATTCTGGATCAACTTGTTGTTCCGATGCTATTTCATTACGTCTTTGAATAAGAGCCTTTCCAAATAGGTAATAACACATGATAGCTTCTTGGGTTTTACGATCAGCAAGAATTATGGCATCACAAAGTTTTTCATATAAAAGCGTAAAGTTAGTATTGCTGGGTTGAAATTTTGTTTCATTCGAGGTTGCAGAAGTCACGTCCCTATTTAATTGTGGACTAGAGCTTCCAGAAACTTCCGACATAAATTTCTGTACTTTGTTTTTATTAGATTGCGAAATATCTTTATCATATGATAAAGGGTCTTGAGATCTGAACCTATTTTCCCGATTTCTTTCTCTTATTTCGTTACTAATCTTTTCCCTATCCTCTAATAATTTAGTTTCTGTGCAGATAGATGATGCAGATTCTGAGCTTTTCTCAATTTCGCTGAGATTAGATGTAGCAGAAGTGATATTTATTTCTCGCTGATAAATTACAGGTAATTCTGAACAAACTGAAGGTGGCAAAATATCTTTTGTGGAAGATTCATTGGTGATAACCTGGATCCGTTTTTGTTCTAATTTGGTAACTCTGTTTTTAAGCTCAATATTTTCAGCAATAAGGATGGCAGTATCTGTTTTATTTTTCCTTTCTAGCTCTTCAAACCTGGTTTTAAGCCCAGTACTTTCTTCTATAATATGTCTTAGCTTCACATTCTCAGCCTCGACCTTGGTATATTTTTTTCTAAGTTCACTAATTTCGGCTACGAGCTTAGAATTCTGTTCTTCTAATGAATCGATTTTAGATTGTGTGTTTGCCATTGTATTTATATAAGATAGAGAAATATTCAAAAGCTTAATAAAAATTACATCTTGAAAAAAATCATCAATTACTTCGTGAACTCGGTTCACAAAGAATTCACTTTGCCAAAAAATTTTCGATACATCAATGAAGTTAGCATAGTCAATAAATTCACGAAATATACATGCAAAAGTAAACGCGATTATATATGCAAATCGGCCACCAGGGCCAGCTTTATTAATATAAAGAATATAAAAATAAAACGAAGATAAAAAAATATACATATAAAACTTGCATTTCTTAACTATTCCCATCCATAGAAGGATGTTCTGGAGTAGTTACAGTAATATTTGAACTTGAACTTAGTTTCTTGAGACGTTCTGATCTAATTCCCGATGAATGAAATAATAAAGATATGTTGACAATCATAATATTTCGTAAAAGCAACAATGCTTCTACAAATTGCAACACATCATCTTCATTGCATAGTCGTATGGGAATTTTTACTGAGCGGAGGTGAAAAAAGCGATGAATGTCATCATCATCTTTTATAAGAATATTTAAGTGCATCATATCTGCCGCAACCTGTATACCAAGAATTCCAAATTCATTTCTGACAGGTCTGCAACTTCTATAAACATAACACATCCCATCATTCATTTCACGCCATAATTTCACTTCATCGTCTTTTTTCTTACGATCAGTGCATATAAGACGCGAGCACTCAATATACATAAGTTCATATATCTTTTCGCGACACATCTCTAAAAACATTATGTCAGGTTGTTTACCTCTCCCTCTTCTGTCTGCACTTGCCAAACTTTGCCTTTCGGCACTAAACAAAAAATATAAATTAGTTAATTCTAGCTCGTCTAATTTAAAATAAAGTTTATCGAACTTACCTGCTAAGAAAAGCATATTTTTTAATCGGTAACTTGTTTAGCGTGGCACGAATGAGAGGAACTATTACATCAGTTACATAGGTCCCCTCACTCTGATCACTCGCAAACTCAGCGTCAAAAGCCGGGTTCATCCAAATACTATTTAAGGAACCGAGAATATCTTTTACAACATTTGCTAGAGTCGCCTCATCTTCCTTCCAAGAATTATCATGAGAAAGCTTTCGTGGTAAGCCCTCCATATCGTCATCATGAAAACTTTCCACAAAGTTAGTACATAAGGTAAATGCGGGTATTTTGACGAATGTGGGTATTATGACGAATTAAACATATTACAAGAAAACTAGACTTTTTTCTAAGAAAATCAAGCTTTACTCACTAAGTAAAATTGTTCGAAATTTTATTTTTTACTTATTTTCAAATTTTGGCGCAATACGAATAATTTTTTATTAATAAGATTTTTTGTTAAACATCTTTGCGCAGCAAATCAATTTTCTGCGCCAAAATGCATAACGAAA